GAAAATTTGCCATGCTACTCTTACTGAAGCGGCGGAGCTCAGATAATTTCTCAAGAGATTTCAAAAGCACATACTTTCATACTTTAGATATCTTTTCTAGCCCATAAGTAGTGCTTTCTCTCCCCCCACCCCCCAAAGAGTCAGTGTTACATACACACATCATTTAGCAGCCGCTTGTGAGAAGGCTGGGAACCCGAACAATTTCTAACCTCTGGCAAAGTCTCCAAACATCGGGTGGGTCCCTGAAAATAGTGGCGTTTCAGTGCAAATAATGGCTTACTGCCCTTCCCCCCCTTGGCCAAGCCCCAAATTGAGCTTCCCACTGTCCTTCAGGCAGAGAGTTAATTTTTTAACTCTCATTATCAGAGCTGTATAATGGAATCAGTGGTTAGCAAAACAAACTGAAGACTGTGTTATCCTGCTTCCATGAATGCATATGAAGTTTGGTGTATACCTTAGACTACAGTAAAGATACAGCTGCCATAGCTGCACAGGAATAAAAATCTTATGTACTGAATGGTGTTAAATGCTCAGGCATGTTTGGTGTTGGAAAGATTTCTACTACCAGACCTTTTGGTATAGTGAAGAATCCTTCTATGATATAAACAATTATTTCCAAGTGCACCTAGCTTGAAGGTTCAAATTTTACATAGGATCTTTACTAAAATGGGCTATATGGAAGAGATAAAATCAAAATTCAGGCTCTTCTTTGCAGTTACGTCAACACTTCATCAGATGAAGGACCTACATCGAGAGGCATCTGGGTGCCAGGAATGAGTTCAGCCGAGAGCCACAACCCTGAGCTTCAGCATTGTGTTTCTGGCTCGACCCAAACGATCTCAGGAAAATCACAGGCAAACAAACACAAGCATTTTTCTCAATCCAGTGCAGCAAACACATGCACTGGGGCTGGGCTATAGGGTGAAGGTAAGAGGGACATCATGCCCGCCCCTCCCAGGGACTTCTCAAGACATGGCCACATACACCAGTGACCACACACAAAACCCCTCACGGTTGACAACATTGGTGTCTTCATGAGAGGTACTAAGTGGGGTGGGAGATCAGGAGAAGACGAAAACCCTGGGACAAGGGCATCTGGAAGACAGTTCCTAGGGTAGATAGGGTTCAAGATGGGCCTACAGGCGCAAGCAAGTCCACCAGGGCTGAGACACATGCCATGCAGAGGGGCCAAAGGGAGGGGCTAAGGCCTAGAGACCTGGGATTGACTGTGGTGGAGCGAGTGGGTGAGGGAGGAGGGGGCCAGGGGGACTGGGGGACGGGAGGGAGTCAGCCCACCACGTCTCCCGGACTGAGGACTCTGGATTTCATTACCTTCACACAGCAGACCCAGTGAAGGTCTCTGGGCCCCACTTTAAAGAAAACAGAAGCCTGACGTTAGGAGGAGAATGGAAATGTGAGGATATGCTTGACAGAGATTTAAGGGGTCAAAATGACATGACTTGATGAGTGACTAGATGTCAGTGAGGAGGGATCTGGAGAGACAGTGAGTTCAGAGATGCCTCGGCCTCCCTGCTGTGGAGGTTCCAGCCGGCCATCCGTCCTACTGCGAGTGGGCAAGGCCGCCTTTGGTGGCTCAGCCCATGCTTCCCCTTTGCACACTGATGTGCACCTCCAGGGTCACTACTCTTCAGGGCTTGCCAATGAGAAAGGGGATGAGGGAAAGGGAGGAAAGGGGAGGGGGCAGGGAGGAAAGGAGAAGGGGCAACAGAGGGAGAGTTAGAGAAGGAAAGAGAGATGGAGGGAGGGGGAGAAGAGATCCTGAAGAAGAGGGTCTACGGTCGACGGCCCCTAACGCTGCAGCAGCAGCCCACCATACCACTTGGGGCCTGATCTTGCAGGTGAGCACACCAAGGCTGAGTGCTCCTCTTTTCAAAACTCCCAAACCACAGTTTTGTACGGAAGGGGCATACCACATGCTCTAGAGCATCCCCCAAACCGCGTGGGTGATGTCTGTGCAGACAGCCCGTCTAGCCCAACAGCACACTGAGCCCTTTCAGGCCTCCAGGCCTTCGTGTTTGCTGTTCCCTCTGCCTGGAATAGTTCTCCCACCTTCCACCCTCCTAACTGAACTTTTATTTGGTGCTTCCTACATACCTGGCCCTATTCTGAGAACTTTGCATATCTCAACTCATTGAATCCTCACAACAACCCTGTCAGGTTGAGTTATTATAATCCCCCATTTAGAGAAAGAAATCGAAGTCCAGAAGAATAACTGACCGGACAGTGGAATACATCTAGTGCCGGAGGGGCCAGTACTCACGTCCAGGTGGTGTGGCTCCAGGGTCTGCCTTCCTGCACATGAAGCCGCTCTGACCCTTGCAGAGCTGGATTGTGCTCCCTGACTCTTGTCACGACCGGCTCCTTCCCTCCTTTGGCTCTCAGTGACGCAGACGGGTCTTCCCTGTCCAGCCTCAAAGGGGGCACCTCCCCCCTTACCTTCTCTCACATTACCCTGCTTATTTCCTCCCCAGCCCTTAGCACACCTTGTAATTATTTATGTATTTACTTGTTTACTGTGTTTCTCCAACTAGAATGTAAACCCAGCAAGGCAGGGGTCTTCCCTTTTGTTCCAATGTATCCCAGAGCACCTGGGATAATTCTTTGGTACAGAGTGGGTGTTCTAGGAACAGGTGTTGAATGAACAAATAAAGTGCGGTATTGTGGGCGCAACGTAATGCTGCACAGGGTCACTGGGCATTGCACTGTTGTCCTTCCATCCATCCTCATCTCCTTCCTTGGCTACTACAAATCCCCAGTGAGCTACACCAAGGCAGATAGGAGCCAGTGCCCCGTTCCCAGTATACGTGGGCAATGCTGATATATTTATAACTGTGTCTGACTGTCAAATCCCTTCACCCGGGTCCTTGAGCATGTAGTGACAAGCTTGTGGGAGACGGGAACCGTGTATTCCGATTGACCCCTCTGCGGCTTCCCAGCACTTAACAGCACTCACAAGGCCGGCCGCTGTGGCTGTTAGCGCCTGAGCTGAGCACCCTCCAGGTGAGAAAAAGCCCCTGCCCCTTGAATCAGGAGGCACCTTAAATACAAAAGACATGGTTGCAGGAACTCCATCCTGGTGGTGAGGGTCTAAGTCAATACATCTGCTGAAACGAAAAGCACCATCTGATACCCCAATGGCATCTAGAGATATTCACGGAGCTTGCCCGAGAACATGCCACTAAAAGGAACTGCCATCAAACACCCTTTGTAAGCAAACACTCGGGCACTTTCACTCATGCTCTCATTCAGCCCTGTGAGTTTGGAATTACTATTACTCCCCTTTCACGAGTGAGAATAGCAAGGCTCAAAGGCCCAATATCCCAAAGCCAGTGTGGATTCAAGGCCAGGGTCAGTGCCTCCTGAAGCTCCATCCACAGTCCTCTGCTCTGAAGTGTTTCATGCTTCCACCAGACTCACTGTCTCCCACCTGGGCCCCACACTTTCCTGCCTCTGTAGCTTTGCTCAGACCTACTCCTTGACCTAAAATCGCCTTTCCACTTTCCACCACTTTCTGAAATCCTCTTCTTTCTTCTGCCTTCCAGGGTACAGGTTTCCTCCATGTCCGCAGTTAGAACTCACCCTGCTGAGTGTGCCCAGAGGTCCCAGGTGTTAGTAACTCCCGAAACATGACCTGTGATCTAATCCTCTTCATCCCTCCTAGAATCTGAGCACCTTGAGGGTATGGCTGATTAGCATTTTCCCTGTTTGTGTCTTCCTGAATGAGTGGTGAGAAAGTGCTTGCTGAACCACTGAAGAATGACGAACATAAAGATTTGGGTGGCATTTGAATGCATCTGAGCAATTTAAGGTTCTGGACAAATTAGCTTCAACTACAGAGTACTGGGTGGGAAAGGCAAATATGTACCACGGTTCTGCTTTCTTTCTGCTCCATTCAGAGCACAGACCACACTCTCACTAGTCCTCCGATTTCATAAAGCTTAAAACCAAGAAATCAAGGAAAGAAATAAGATGCTAAACTCACTTCCGTAAGAGTCTTTTCATAGTAAAGGATCTCACAGGCACGCTGGGGAAACCAGTGATCGCTGCTGCACGAGGAGGGCAAGAGATTGGGCAAAAGAATGAAGTCCACCTTCTAGGATGAGCAAGCCTGCAGCCTGCTCCGCTGTGGCTGCTCCAGAATTCACCTGTCCTGGGAAACATGCACTGGCAACACTGAGGGCCTCTCCCAGCGCACGGAGGTTGAACGCCCACCCAAGAACGCCTGATCTGGCATCATTTTAGATCAGCTTGATTGGAAAACATCTCGACCATCGCTTTGGACCAGACACAGGTAGGTGCTGGCCTCTGTGTCGGGACTCCTAAAACGGTGCATTATTTTTTTCCCCAAACAACTATTTTGAGGTTTTCACAAAAATAACTGACTCACCAACAGAAACGCTTCCTGATCTATAAGGCACTTCGAAAACAAATCATCACGCCGTTGAATATTTTATGATGGCCCAAAACGCTGGAGGAGGAAAGGCTAGCATCCGCCAGTGCTTGCCGTATCTATTTCGGGACTCCCAAAGTAAACTGCAAATGCCTACTTTATTTTCTGAGCACCCATTTGCAAGTGCTGGGTGGATTCTGGGTAAAATACTGCCTCTACCCAAACTGCCTCTAACTACAGAGACCTGGAGATTCTACTTCCCAGATTTACAGGGGAAGGACTTCAGCGATCACCTCGTGCACACTCCTCTCACCCCCTTTTATTAGGGCCGCAACACCAGTGGGGGTATTGCCCAAGGACACACAGCCACTGGATGGCAGAGGAGTCACCAGGAGCCAGGGACCGGCTCCCGGCCCTGGGAGTAGGGAATATTTTCTGGGGCTGACTCAACACCCCTCTTAAAGATCAGCCAAAGCTGCTGCAGGTTTGCAACTCGACCCCTGACGTTGACTCAGGCGGGTCCCAACATTCCTGCCCACCCCCAAGGAACCCTGGAGCGGAGGCACTCGGGGGGTGCCCCTTGACTCACAAATTGGCAATACAGGCATGGCGTTTCTGGTGATCGTCCCTGGCGAACCCCTCCCGGTCCAGGTGTCGCCGTGGAGACCCGGCAGGGCAGGCTGGTCGGAGGTCACTCAGAAAGTTGGCGCTGGCCCTGGCCGCACCCGAACCCAGGGCTCCTGCCTCCTGGTTTGCCGCTCTTTGCACTACACCCTGCAGATCTCGAAAACTTAAGCAACACACGGATACTGTATAAAGACTTAAGCGTTGCAGGCCCTGAACGAGCACGCAGACTCGCTCAGGAGTCAGGGCAAGACGACTGGAGGTGGTCGCGGGTCATCCGGGCCGGCGGTGCAAGCGGAGCTCACGGCGGAGGGCGGCGCGGAGGAAGCCCAGCGGCGGGCAGTGTGCGGCGCCCGCAGGCCCGCGGTGCGGGGACTGGCGGTCCCCCTGAAACTTTGCGGCGCCCGGACCTCGCCCTTACCTGCAGAGGAGGCGCCGCCCGCGCGGACCGGGACCTGGCGCTCGCGGGGAGGGACGGCCCCGCCCGGGGCGGCGGGCTCGGACGCGGGCAAGGCTCGGGCAGCGTCTGGGCTCCGGCTCCGCTCGGGCTCCGCCTCCCGCGCCGCGGCTGCAGCCGGAGGCGGGGGTGTAGGGCCCGGCCGCGCCCGCGCCGTCTGGCCGCGGCAGGTGCTGAGGCTGCAGCTGCGGGCCGCCAGCTGCCGGCTCCGAGACCCCCGCCCCGGGGGAGGAGCTCGGTGCACCGCCTCCCTGGGCCCTGGAGGTCCCTGCCCGCCGCAGTGGGCGGTCCCGCCTCCAGCCGGGCCCTGCCTCTGCCACCTTTCCCCAGCTCCTCGCCTTGGCACGCAGCGTCCTCCGAGTACCCACAGGGAGACTGAGGTCGGAGAGGAAGCGGGGCTCCCCAAGGTCACCCAAACCCGCGGGCGGTGGGGCCAGAACTGAAACTCAAGAGTCCCAAGGAACAGCCCCCTTCTCACGCCTCCTTGCCCCCGGCTCTCCTACTCCAAGGCCTTTCAAAGACCCTTGGAATATGTGGGACTCGGGGCGGGGTGCAGAGGAGCCCTGCTTGGCCCCCACCACCAGGCGCTTCGGCTGAGGGGAGACGGGAGGGGTGCGCCCACTTCTGGCACTATGGACCACTTCCCTTGGCGCTGAAAACTCTTTCTGGGCTGAGACACCGGACTCCTTCGGACTCCTTGGCGTTTCCTCTGGCCTTCCTAACCATTTCTTCTTGGTCTCCCCGAGTGCTCCGCAAACCTGCAAGCCCTCGATACTGGGGTTCCCTAGGACTCTACACCCAGTCCTCCCTGGGCCATCTCACCCACTGCTCTGGTGCCAGTTCTACCAGCTCTCTAACCGCCATAACCGTCAAATGCACGCCCCTGTCCAAACTCTTTTCCTTGCTGAAATACCTACTCAGCACCTACCAGGTCCCCACCCTGTGTGACACGCTGGAGATACAGCCTGGAATGAAGCACAACCCCTGCCCTCATGGAATGCACTGTTTAGAGAACTGCTGATACAATGCAGTTCTTACAATAGCACGAGTCAAGGATGCCACCGGGGCCATGGCAGGTGCCTGCACTGGCTGAGTGAGGGAAGAAGGCCTCCTGGAAAGGCCATCGGGGTAGTCAACGAAAGGGGGGGGCGTGTGAAGAGAGCTTCCTAGGCAAAGGCCATAGGAAGGAAGACCCCAGGGTGAGAGAGATGGCGGATGGAGGGGCAGGCGCTGAGAGCTGAAGCAGGAGAGGCAGAGGCCACAGGGGGTTTTGAGCTGGGAAGGGGCACCGTCAGATTGGCATGTGAGATCATCTTGGAGGTGGAATGGAGCACACATCTGAGTTAACAAGTATGCTCTTTGTCAAAAAAAAAAAAGCAACACTGATTTCAGCACAGTGGTGCCCACCTGGCCTAGATGAAGAAAGGCACTCCAGGACCTACTGCCTCTACGCTTCCGTTCCCGAATTCAGGCCTCCATCCAAAAACTCTCCCGAGGCCCTCTGTCTATGAAAGGCCTTCTAGTACCCGCACCCAAAGCTCTCTCTGTCTCAGTGCCCCAGCCACTCTGCCACCCACATCCATGGGCTGAGTTACCCCTTCACTGCTTAGGGTCTGCTTCCCTCACCTGTCTCCACTCCAGACATAGTGTACAAAGTTCTGCCCTGGATGAGCACCATTAGGAGACATGGACAAATGTGAGAAAAGTCTGAAGCTAGGGTGGAAATAAAGTAAGCTTCTGAAAACCTGTGTTGTGCCTCTCTCTACTGTATGTTACAGCTGCCTGTGAATCTACACTTATCTCTAAATAAATTTTAATTTTTAAAATTGTGTTGTAGGTGAAAATTAATAACCAAATCACTCTTGCAGAAAGGAAAGTCAAAACTCTTGTGTCTGGTGCATACAAATTTTGCTTATGGAATTTTGTTCTGTCCCCTCTCAATCTCCTGGCTGCCCCTGCCAGAAGCATCCACCTCTTCAGCTGCTTTATGTATTCATGTGTAAACAGTTTCACCTTTGGCTCCTGGGTCCCCACTCTGCCTGCATTCCCATTCTGTTGCTCTTCTCCTTCAGCCTTCCATTCTTCCCCAGCCATTTGAATGCTGAGGTTCTTCAAGTCCTCTCTTGGTCTCTTCCTTCCCATCACCCTCAGTAAGGGATTCTATTGGCTGCATGAGTTCAGCTCAGATTGTCTTCTGTTCACCAAACCCAGAGGCATAACTGCCCACAGAACATCTGAATGCTCCTCAGGTGCCCCTGTATCAACAACAGAGGCAAACCCAACTCACATCTTTCCTTTAAATTACTCCTTCTGTGTTGCTTCCATCACTTCCCCGGTAGTGGCACTTAAACCAGAAGCCAATGGACATTCTAGACTCTTCCCGATATCCTACAGGTGGTGAAGTCCAGTCATCCCTATCACTATCACTACTCAGTGTCTTCTCTTCTCCATCCCACTGCCCTTGCCTTAGCTGGAGCCTCAGCGTTTCCTGATGAGGCTGGAGCAAATGCCCTCCGGGATCCGACCCATCACCGAGGCAGCCCCATCTCCACAGCGCCCCATACCTGTACGGCAAATGCCTCATGTTCCAAGACACGCCATATTTTACAGTAGGGAAAATAGCTATGATTTACTCATGTGCCAGGCATTGTGTTGAGTGCTTTACACAATATTTCATGTAATGAAAGGCCTAGAGCATAGGGCTAAAAACTAGGCTTGCGTTAAACTGCCCAGGTTCAAATCCCAGTGCAGCCACTTGTTAATAACGTGCGTAATGTCGGGAAAGTTCCACAGCCTCTCAGTTCTCGGTTCATCCTCTGCAAAGGGAGCATAAGGACACCTGCAATCTAGGAAGTTTCTGAAAAGAGTTACTAGAGATGGAACAGTGCTCATTACTGGCTGGCCAGCACTATTAGTCCTGTTTACAATCATTTTATGCAGTGAAATTTATCATGTGCCTGTTGCAAAGAAGGAAACTGAGGCTCCAAGAAGTAAAGTCATTTACTTCAAGTTCCAGAGCGTTCATTCAAGTAGCTGCACTGGGACTCACCTGCGACTCTAAGTCTCACACTGCCAAATACTTTGCATAAGCTTTCACCTTGCTCTGAAAGTTTTCCCATCTCCTCACCTTTACCGCAAACTGCTAGACAAACTCTTCTTTCTCCTTTACATTCTGGTCAAAAATGTCTTCTCCTCTAGGTTTTCCCCAGCCCCTCCTTGGTGCCTGCGCCGTACTTGGTTTGTTCTTCAAATAAAGCACCAAGCGCAGCTCATTATAATGAGTTATTTGCATGGTTGTCTTCTTGAGGCTTCCTTGAGAAAGACAATATCTTGTTTACTTTTGTCTTCCTAGAACTCTATAGATATTTGTTGAATGAATGAATGAATGAATGAATGAATAAAATATACATAAGATTCTCAAAAGAGTTTTACCCTAGCAGCTGTCATTTCTAGATAGATTACATTTAACCTCTGTTTTTGTCACTCTGGAGCCATTTTTGATGGGGAGATATCATCAAATGACCCATTATTAATACAGAGCAAGATACAGCAAGACTGGAATTTCTCATATTGCTGTCTGGTCATGCCTTGGCCCTCTCAGATGCATCTCCTTTTTTAGTGACACTATGTAATAACCCCTAATGAGACGCTGTGTTGCATCCTGATGAGACTTCCTGACTAAACCATCTGAGGTTTGAATTTATTTCCCATAAGGACCATTTCAGCTAAAAGTTTGCTTTCTCGATGGCACGAGCGTGTTTTTTGTCATCTGCTAAGTGCCCATACCTTCTCCTTATTCAGATTAATCTCCTTTGCATCCAAATATTTCTGAGAGCTGACTTAATAGTTAGCTTTTCTATACAATTTCCCTCTTAGAATGCCTAACTCTTTCTGACTTCATGTCTATTGTTCCCAAAATAGACTAGTTTACTGCTTCAAATTTCAGCTTTACTGTCTGCAGCGATTTAGGACACGCTTCTGCTCTTCCTCAGAATGATCAAATTCCACTGGCTAAAAAAAAAAACCCAACCCCAAAATAACCTTGACCCTGTCATTTTTGTATGGAGTAGCATTTTTAAATTAGATGTTAGAGGCATTTATTTTGTATACCAGAACACAAGTAGTAAATTGGCAGTTTTAATGCCTTCATATCAAATTAATGAGACAAGTGCAGGTGAAAAAAAGCACCTTGGTCTGGGAAACAGGAGGCGAAAGCGTTCTAGTATTGTTCCGTCACTTGCCCAGGTCCCCTCACTCTTTAGTAGAATAAAGGAGTGGAACACAGTGAACTTCAAGGTCTCCTTCATATCTAAAATGACATGATTCCTTAGTGGGCCCCCAAGTGGCCACTCATTCAACATTCTTGAGTGCCTACCACATGCTTATGCCTTTTAAAGTGTAGTGATTTAAATATAAATTCAGGTTGGATGGGGAATGGAATGGTTTGGTTAAGAGAGTGTTATTATACCATAAGCTGATTACATGTTTTTAATACTCAGGCTTGACTTAATAGTGGTCTATAATGAAGGCAGATTCATTGAGACTTTGGTGAACTCAGACTCACAGGCCCTGCAGTATTATAGGAAACCCATTAGAAGTAGCCCTATCTGAGATCCATGCTGGAACTCCTGGTGAGCTGCTTGTCCAAAAGCAGTGTCCTAGAGCTCTGTGACCACATCCTGTCCCTACCTTGCTGTGTGGCTATGGGAAAACCACATCACCTCTCTGGGCTATAGTTTACTCTTTTGTAAGAGGGAATAATACTTTATGACAACCA